TATCCCCAAAGCTTAAAACCCTCGAGGACTCAGGGTTGTGGGGGAAGGTGAAGGTCATGGCTTGAAATAAGACTGTGATAACCTGCCGTAGTCCTCCCCGCAGTCTCCTCACTTTACTTCCTGCCTCTCTCCCACCTAATGCTGAGTGGCCCAGCCCCAAGACCCCCTCAGGGGTCTAGCAGTTGCCATTTCCACTTCTTAGCATGCACGTTCCTCTTTCCTTCAGCTTTCTGCTTGGTTGTCACCTTAGAGAAGCCTTCCCTGCCCCCCTGACTGGTGTTAAATGAAATGACATTCCCCACCCCTGCATGACTCTGCTTTATTTCCTCTTATCCTGCTTTATATTTTTTCATAGCACTTAGGTTGCTAATTGGTTTGTCTGTCTCCCCTTCGTTTGAGTGTTTCGTAAAAGCATGAAGTTTCTTTTGTTCAGTGTTGTCTCTTTAGTATTAAAGAATGTCAGACACTTAGAAAGCACATGGTAAATGTTATAGATGGTGCACAATAAGTGTACATTGTGAGTTAATGTGTACAAAAATTGAAGCATTGCTAATTCTTTTTTATAATGTGAAAACTCGAGGGAGCCATTATAATTACCAATATAAATGCAAGAACATGAATGAATAGGCAGTGTTTATTATATTTAGGTATCAGCAAAAGATAATAAAAGTAATAATTATTATAAACTTTGTTTCTCACAAGCATGAGAAGGCTGCTTCTTATTTAGGCACCTTTGCACCCCAACTGCCTGACTCAGTGCTGTGCCGGGCGTTTGCCTACCAGGCTTCTCTAAAGGAGTGGAGCCAGGCTGAGTCTCTCCCGTAGGAAGCCTTGCTACACAGAAGATTGCTGGGGGCTGGCAGTCGTGGTGAGATTTACCACAGATTTCTGGAAAGGCAGTGCAAATTGCAGATTCTCAGTCTGTCAGAACATATGAAAAGAGGTGAGGAGAAATATGCTGATAAAGTAAGGTCTTTGCTGCACTGTCAATATATTTAAGTAAAGATTCAGGAGGTAAATTATGACTATTTAAGGTCCCAATGTGGTGTGCAGTTGTCAAAACCATTGAAGTAGAGGACTCTCAACATACTCAGTGAGTGAATCAGTGATGTCAGAGGAAATGGAAGTGCTCTGGCATTGAGTAAGATAAAGACAAGGCATATTCTCCTCAGTTACTTTTGCTTTTTGAGAACATGTCCAGTGATTCTTCTTTTCATGCCATAAAGGATTTAATGTTATTTTGTTAATAAGTTTGAGATTCTCTGAATATAACTGTCTCCATTCCCATTATTTGCCCATTTCCTGGGAAGATTATTTATTGTTATTTCAAAAATTGGAGGTAAATGATGAAAGTGCTGCATTTTTTCAAAAATGTTATTGTTATAAATTCATAACTATTTGAGAATTTCTTTTATTTGATGATCTGTCTTCACACTCAAGGGTTTGATGTTTGATTTCAGAGACAGAGGCCAAAAGGCTGTTATCAAGGCTGTTGCTTGTACCCTTAAATGATAGGAGTTAAACCACACTTTTGTATTTTTTTATTTTTCTTTTATATTTATGGATGTTTAATCTTAACTTTTATTGTTCCTATTCTTTATTTTCATATAGAGGTTAATTTGTTCTTTGAAAAACAGTATTGCCTTATTTGTGAACTTGTAGGTTCATACAATGAGCCAGCAATTTCACTCTTTGGTATATGTCCAGGATACACTTCTGTACATGTGCACCAGGAGACATGTACAGGAATGATCCTCACAGCACTGTCCCCAGGGAAAAACCTGGAAACAACCCAAATACTCACTGACAGGGGAGTGGATAAATAAACTGTCAGAATGAAATATTATACAATGAATGAATATTATAAAATGAACTACAGCCTCTTGTAATAATGTGAATGAATCTTAGCAATAGCTTGTTAGCAGCAATAACTTTTGTAAGTTAAAGACAACTCAGACATAAATATCCAGTCACAATGGAAGCAAGGGAATGAAGAACAAGGAAGTCAGGATGGTGTGAACCACAGTTTTAAACAGAGAAGACACACATGAAAACATCCAGACTCACTTCGTATTAGTCACTGTAAAAAAAAATAAAGAAGGAAAAATAGAATTACATTTTCTCTTCGTAGTTATTTATCTCTGTAATATACAGGTATGAGAAATGGGTAGTCTGTAATTAGTTTTTAATCACCTCCAAACTTAATTATTTCCCTTGCTTACTGCTAGTCAAGTAACTCTTGACTCTGCTAGCCAAGATCTTTGTGCAGTGGAAAATAATGCCGTCATAAGCAACATACTACATGGATTATGAAAGTATTTGAATATGATTTATTTCATTTTTTAAAGTAATTTAAATTAATATGAAAAATTTCAAGTATCAAAAAATCTATCTCACCCTAAAAATTACATAGTTTATTGGATCATATTGTTTGTGATCAGTAAGAAATAATAATTCTAATTATAAATAGAATATTCTCCAAAACAATTCTAACAAAGATTGAAATCTACACATTTTTGGCATTGCTGCTTATGGTAGCATCACTTATTCTAACATTCAGGAAGGTGAAATGGGCTCATAGTAAAAGGCATTTCATTTAAACCTCTGGGTGCTCATGAAACCAAATCAATGAAGGTAAAGTAAAAGGAGTTATACTTAGTGTGTGTCAGTCACTCTTTTAAGTGTCAGTTCGTTTCATCCCCATCACAACCCTATGAGATAGTTAATATTACCATTTACAAATGAGGAAACAGAATTTGGTGAAGAGTCTAAGGTCGCACAGGTACAGCAGGCTCCCATATTCATGGAGGATACATTCAAAGACCCCAGTGGATACCTGAAACCGCAGATAGTACGAAACCCTATATATACTGGTTTTTCCTATACATACATACCTATGGTAAAGTTTAATTTATAAATTAGGCACAAAAAGATATTAACAACAGCAATAACTAATAATAAAAAGAACAATCATAAAATATACTGTAATAAAAGTTTTGTGAATGTCGTTGGTCCCTCTCTTTCCCCCCCCTCCAGTAATTTTTATATTCTTCAGTCCAGACTCATGTCTGGATCTGTGCAGTTATTCCTTACCTGCAGTCAGTGGCTTGGTGTTACTCGTTTTAGGGGATCCTATGCTAAAGTCTCTGTATAGGCTCAGTGCTTCTGGTGCAACAGGTTGTTGTCCATTGTAACGTTTTTCTGTTTGTCTTCTACCCACAAATTTAATGCCTTTTTTCCTGTCTTAACTAAGCACTTATTGTGCACTGTGGCCATAACTTCTGCAATTTGAGGTGCAATGAGAAAACTAGTATGAATTCCTTTTTTTTTCACAATTTCAAGAATAAAAGATTCATTTTTACCGTAGATCTTAGCAGCCTCAGCATACAATTTTTCTTCTTAAGTTGAGGACTTTCATCTTTTCACTTAAAGGAAGCACATTATGGCTTCTCTTTGGCATATCCGGATTGCCAGCATCATTACTCTTGTGCTTTGGGGCCATTCGTAAGTAAAATAAGGGTTACTGAACACATGCACTGTGATCATGACAGTGAAGCTGATAACCAGGGGCTGGCTATTAAGGGACTAACCGGCGAGGAGCATCTACAGAGTGGTGATGCTGGGCAAAGGGATGATTCATCCCAGGTGGGACGGAGCAGGATGGGGTGAGATTTCATCACACCACCCAGAATGGCGTGCAGTTTAAAACTTAGGAATTGTTTGTTTCTGGTATTTTCTATCTAATATTTTAGGACTGCAGTTGACCTCCAGTAACTAAAAGTGAAATGGCGGGTAAGGAAGGACTACTGTAGTAGATGGCAGAACCAGGATCCGAGCCCAGGAAGGGCCTCCAGAGCCTGGCTTCTTACCTTGTGCTCTGCAACCACTCGGTGCCACTTTATGTGACTGTTTTCACTTCCTGCAGTGACATCATGTTGGTTATACATTTGTAACACTGACTAGTCATCTGCTGCTGCATCTCATTTGCCTCACTTTTCTGTTTCGTAATCACTTGACTGGGCAAAGCAGCTGACCTAGCCAAATGAAGCCAATGTGTATTAGTTTTAACTGGATTGTTTTCATTCTTTTAGGCATCTGTCTAAAAGATGGGTTGTGATTATTCCCATAGCAACTTTACTGTGTTTAAATATTGACAAAACAACCAAATCTTTGAGAATTGAGGGGAAGCTTTTCATATGTCTGCCTATGAATTTTGGAACGTTGTTGGATATTTGGGCTGTATATGAGGTTTTTAGGCTTTTGTATGAGAGGCATATATCAGGTTCTGAACTCTATAATATGTTAGAGATTATAAAGCTATATAGAAATTAAAATTGTTCTTCAGTTTTCTTGTGTACAGATTCCTGATCACTAAGTTTAGTGTCACTCATGGTGTCCCAGGAAGGTCTCTTGTGTCAAATTTTATTCAAATAAGTGACTCTTGATTTTAACAAAGTTAAAGACAAAAATCAAATGGAAGTTTCCACTATGGATAAAAACCCAACCATTATCTTAATTTGGGGCAATATAACAAAAAATTGAACACATTTTATGCAGTGAATAAAGCTCTTGGTTTCCAGGATGTCTTGAATAAATTAGGAGTTCTTTAATGTTAGCTCAGCGGTTGAGCATCCCAGGAGATCACCGTTCGATTCCCGGTCAGGGCACATGCTGGGGTTACAGGCTCGATCCCCAGTAGGGAGCGTGCAGGAGGCAGCCGATCAGTGACTCTCTCTTCATCACTGTTTCTCTCTGTCTGTCTCCCTCTCCCTTCCTCTCTCTGAAATCAATAAAGACATATTAAAAAAAAAAAATCTTTAACGTTAAAAAAGTTAAATGCTTAAGGAGCATAAAGAAGGCAAAGGTTCCCCTTTTTTGATGGCCTATCTCAGTCTTTAGGAAGTTTTTTCTGAATAAAGTGTTAGAATTTAAATACTTGTGTACTTTTGTTATTGTTAGTATGAAATGTGCCTGAAAACATTTTTTATTTTTATTTTCAGATGACAGAAGTGATGCTCAGGAAAGTAGCTTAAGAGACTTAATAAAAGAGCTGCCAGACACGCACTATTGCCTCCTCAAGTACCTCTGCCAGTTCTTGACAAAAGTAGCCAAGCACCATGTGCAGAATCGCATGACTATTCACAATCTCGCCACTGTATTTGGACCCAATTGCTTTCAGTAAGTTAGTGAAGTTTTGCTTTAAATATTATCAAATACCCCTTTTCTTTTAGCATTGCCTGAAATTACTGGGATATAGACCCATATGTCAAACTGAAAAGTAAAATAATTTATATTAGAGAAGTTCCATCTTGTTATTGGGCATTTTAGCCTTGTTTTTTGTCCCCATTTTGAAGAAAGCAAAGAATATCTTATGAAATCATCATTTGTAATACTTCAAATAACCTTCTTTAAAATTCTGGAAATAAGTTTTGCTTTCACCAAAAAGGGCATTTAAAAAAAAATCTAATCTGAAACATTGATTACAAGAAAGGGAAGGAATATGATGTAGTGCATAATTTTTAATGGTGATAAAGTTCAGAACATAGCTAATGGATGGAAAATTACAAGCAGAATGTGTCAGTGACAGAAAAATGTAACCTCAGCTACATTTATTTATTTCCTAGGAATAAACTAGACTGGAAATAAACTAGTTTCTGTGGTGAGTGCTACATCACTAGCCACAAGAACTTTTGTAAAGCTTTATATTTTATTTTCCCTGTTATTCCTTAAAGCTCTTTAATGTATAAAAATTGATCTTGCAGTTCAGGAACTTTGCTTTTAACTCTCCTATTAATCTCCACTGATATCAAACATGTTCCTTCTAGTTATAAGGTGAGAGAAAGAGAGAACACGCTTTAAAAGCTCTCAGAAATTCTCAGGAAGTTTTTTTCTTTTTAATAGTGTGTCTGCTTATCCACTCCATTAATCTACAGACCCATTCAGCTGCCCAGAACTAGTAATTTTACAGCCCGAGAACCACCATCTAAATATAAACTCTGGCTTAGGTCATAGTGGCTGCAGGGTTCCAGGACGTTTGCAGCCTACTATGGGGAGAAGTTCTACCTTAATAATGATCCTTTTGTAACCTTAAAGGTTTACATTTTAAATAACGGCATTTCATAGGATATGTTAGAGTCTCATGAATAAATGTCTCAAACACAGGCTCCACTAACTTCTTATCTTATTCAGGAGCTCTGGGGTAGAAAAAAGCTCTATTTCTTTTTTACACCTATCTGCAAAGTAAACTGTGTTTGGTGACTTACATGTAAGAAATAAAGGTAAGTAGAAAACTACTCAGCAATTTTTAAACCCTAGATTCCAGAAGAGGTGAAAGCAAATTTGTAAATAGAATGCTTATTTAATAACAAAGATATATACCTCGTTGCTGACTTATTGGATTGGGCTTGATCTGGAATTTCTGATAACCTGCTTCAGTTAGTCAAAATATCAAATAAGTGATGAATTTTTATTATAGAGTCTACTAATTACTATAGCTTAAAATTTTTTTATTGTGGTAAAATATACATAATAAAATGTGCCATTTTAACCATTTTTAAGTGTACAATTCAATGGCATTAAGTACATTCCTATTGCTGTGATCTATTAATTGGTATGTATTTCTAAACTTACAGAAGTCACTACCAGGTCCTTTTCTCATTGGAATAGAGTATAATGCTTATAACAGATAGTGTTCATGGAGCACTTAGCAAATACTGTACTCTCATTTATCTAATTGATTCTAAAAAGGCAGAAGGGGTTATTTTTGCCCTTTAAGTTTCTCTAACGAGGTCAAGGAAAAACAGACACTTTGACTCTAGTGACCACAGTTAGTCCATATATGTTATAAAGATGATCAGTGGGAAGCTGCCATTCAAGAGTAAGTCTCACCATGAACTAGTAAAAGACAAAGAAAGGAAATACCTTTCTCAATAACTAAGGTGAATACATTGTTTAATCAATAGATGAGGAAGTTTTATTTCTAATAGATAAGGGAACACCCTCATGAAATAATAATTTTTAAAATAACATAAAATTTTAGGTACAAAATATTGTCTATGAAATATCTAATCATAAAAATGAAAAGAAATACACCAACAATATATGATTGTTTGGTGTTCTGGCTGCTGGGCTTCGAGGTGACTCTTAATTATGAGGTTTTCAACATGTTTATTAATTTAGGTGATTGGGTAATACTATCATTGTAAAATATTCAAACAATAGAGGTATGTAGAATAAAAATCAAATACCCTCCATTAGTCCCTCCCATTCCTCTAGAGATAAAATCAGTAACCAGTAGGTGTATATCCTTCCATCTTTCTTTTTGAACACAGAATCAATCTATTCTTAAATATAAATTGGATCCTGGTACATAGATTGTGAAGCTTGATTCCTTTTTATGGTAGAACTTGAACTTTTAATATCAATGTGTTTATATAACTCATTCTTTTTAAAGTATTGAATAGTGTGAATTTGCCCTAATGTAACTAACTATTGATGAACACTGAGGTAGTTGTCATTTTAAAAAAAATATTTAAAAGAGTTGCAGTGTGTGGTGCCAGGTGGGTACTGGAAATACCAGGAGAACACTTTATGAAGTATATGATTGTCTAACCATTATTCTGTACACCTGAAACCAATACAAAATAATATTAAAAGTAATCTGTAATTGAAAAAAAAACTTAACCACCAATTTAAAAAAGGGAAAAAAAAATAAATGGGTAAAAACACACACAAAAAAACAGTTGCAGTGAACACCTTGAGTGTGACTCTTTATGTATATCTGCAACTGTTTCTTTTAGAATAGATATCCTAAAAGTGGAATTACTCAGCTGAGGGGTTTACACATTTTATGATCTACTGTGGCAATGTTATAATAATGTTTTTATAGTGTCCTGTGGCACAGTAATAAGTATTTTTCTATGAAAAATTCATCCAACTTTAGACTGTAAGCTATGTATGTTCTATATGATTTTTCCTAAGGAAATTAGTAATATCCCGGTTTCTAAGATAAGTAAAAATCCTCCTAAAGAATATTATTCTTAGAGATTAGCAGGAATTGCTTTCCCCAAATTTTTTTTTTCTTTCCCTCTCCCCACCAAAGTTTTGATAGTTATTAAAAGGAGTACTGGATTTTAGTGGTTTGAATAGCATGACATAAAAGAAAATTAGCCTAGTCTTTGTTCTGCCACTGGTAGGTGTGACCTTCTGCATTGTTTATTTTTCTATTACACTTTCTGTAAAATGGTACCTACAAAGTTTGCTTGAAAGCTAAGCAAGACCATAAGAGAAAGTCCTGGTGCGTAGTAGACAGCTGGTAGAGCAGTGTTGGAATACTTGCGCATGTAACTGAATACATTCTTTAAGGGAAAGATCAAGTCTTATAGACTTGGCCCATCATATCACTTAATGAAGTGGGCTCGTTAGAAACATGAGACCAAAGATAGGACATTCATCTTACCTCAGTTGTCTCAGTTTTCACTTTCTTCTTACATATAGTACAGGCCTCTTACAGTATTAAACAGTCAAACCTCGTTTCTTGAATGTCTCCCATCTCGAACAGTTCCGCTCTCAACCAAATTGTTCATAGAAAAAATGTCTGAGTTGTCAAACCAAACTTCTGTTTTTGACCTGACAAACCTTTCATGCTGATACCTCAATACAACAAACAGCATCTCTCAAGCAACAAACAAAGGAGAAGAACACTTTTGTTGCTGGCAAAATCAATGATAAGCACAATTTTAAAACATAAAGAGGTCATCAAGAGTGCTAATGTTGCTAAGGGTGTGAAAGAAGCAATGATCACAGGCGGTTGATGACGTAGAAAAACTCTGTTGATTTGGATAAACGAAGAGCAGTTAGCCAGTGATAGCATTTCAGAGGTAGTGATATATGAACAGGCAAAGATGCTGCATTCTGACCTGAAAGACACCCCTGGAAAAAGTGCTGAAAGTGATTCTTTTAAGGCTAGTAGGGGGTGTTTTGATAAATTTAAGAAAAGAAGTGTTTATTTATAGATTAAACAGTATATTAGACATGCACTGAATATAAGAAAGGTTAAAATTGAATCATTTGAGGTCTGGAATGGATTAATTCAATTTATATTATTTCTAAATGGGGGGAAAAATGATTCGGTTTTCAAAAAAAATTGCTTCTCGAACAGCCTTCTGGAATGAATGAAGTTTGAGAACCGAGGTTCCAATGTAAATACTTTTTAATACTTAAGGAAAACATTTTCTTGTCTAATAAAACTTCTAAATATGAACCAACTTCTTCACCTTAGTACTTGTAACAGACACATATCTTATGACTTTCCCAAATAGCCTTGCCACTACCCACCTCCCAGACTAATCTGCCACCAGAGACTGACCTTCCACCTGCCTTGGGAATGCTGGGTTCTTCTTGCAGCTGAGTCATCCAGCCACCTTCCCAGAGTTGCTGGCTTCCCCAGTCACTTTCGGACACCTGTACTAGGGTCTCAATTCCTAGGCTGCCAGAGGGGCTAGATATGCACGCAACCTGGAAGTCTAAACAGTTAAATCCCTTTGACAATGGGAAACAGGAGTCAGGAGGAAAGTAGGTGCATCTCTTTTTCCCGCCCTTGGAATCCATCTGCTGAATTAGACCGCCATACTAAGCGTCTGCCAAGCAGACTGTTGTGTGTCACTTGGGTTCTTTGTGAAATCACTATGAGCATTTTACATTGTTTCACATCCCTATTTGCATCCTTTCCACACCCATGCTGCCCTGTATTCCTACTCCCAAAATAATGTACCAAAATCTTTGTCCTTGGCTCAGTCTCTGTTTTCTTGAGAATCTACCCTAAGGCACTGTGCACCTGAGGACACAACAGAGTGTTTCAAAACGTATTTTCGTAAGATATGGTGAGATATGTTGTACTTTAAGAATTTAAAGGATCAGGTTGGCTGTGCATGATTTTTCTTTTCACATACTGACTTTGGAGCTGATTTTCTCATAAACAGCAACTCCATGTGTCAACTGATGGTTGTTAGTGCCAAATCAATGCCAACAAGAGTCCCCAGTTTGAACTGTAGTGAAGAAGGGGACTTTATGCAGTACAAAATAGCTCAGTTGTGATACAGCATGGCTGTGAAAACAGCAGGACTGTAGGACAGCTCCGGGGCCAGGTGTCCCTGGGGCCAGGCCCTCTCCAGTTATTC